TTGAAAACCTCCTCCCTCAGTCTCCCAAGATGCTGATTTATAGGCATGCTCCACTGTGCCCAGCTTAGAATATTTTGTTATATGTATACATCATGGAATGATTAACTTTTCAATTTTCATATAGTCTTTTCCCTAGCAGCATAATTATTTCAAATTGATTTACTCCACAGAGAAGAAATCAAGGGAATGTTTACAGCTAAGATCTATTATATGTGAGAATCTGTTTATAGCCTTTGATCTAATAACATGTATTCCTAACTGCAAACTAAAATGTACATGAAATATTACTTTTATTTTCTTCCAATCAAATTGATCTATATTATCAAATCCTATCCAACCCATTTTGTTTACTATTAAAAAGAGGGTAATATTCTCTCTAGAATTACACACATATTTCATTGCTTGGAAAATTAAGAAAAAACCACCTTTACTCTTAGTCCATCTTGACTTCTTCTGATCACCATCTCATAGGTGTTCTCTGAAGGACGGTGCTGCTGATTTTGAGCCAAGTTTGAGTAAAGGCATCTGCTAATGCTGACATTCCCAGTACTAAAAGTCCTGCTTTTCCAAGTTTTGCCAGGGGTACATTGATAAGATATTCATAAGTTGTGACACATACAGCATTTTATCAGCATATAGAAAGACTGTACCCCAAGTTATATATATCCATATTCTCAATAATTCTCAGAAAGTTGATATCTTCTGGCTCATGAAATACATGCAGTCATGTGTATAAATCTAGTGGATAAAATTACCAGTTGTGAAATTTTTAATTTACTAGATGTTATTGAAATAATTTCTAAATTGCTTTGTTATCTAATGGTCCTTCTAATACTTCAAATGTATACCTCTAATTCTTCTGCTAGATCCTCTTTCTGATCCTAGCATTAGGCCACATAATTGATTGAAAGCACCTGGTAATAATATAAATGCAAATACTGCTTTGCAAATTATCTTAGAAATTCTGAAATTTACCCATATTTCCATTAAGTGCACTCACAAAGACAGTTCAAATGATCTTCCAGAACCATGTTCATTTCTCTATTCTATGTCTGTGTTTTTATTTTGCTTTCATTGGGCATGTGTCAGCTCCTAAAAGATAGATTATACAATTTATACATGATCTTGTAGATCATGCAAATTTATATCAAGAGTAGAAATAATTACTATTGCTGATTATGCCATTATATCATTTTACTCTTTTCATGGCTAAATTTTATTTTAAATGTTTCAGAAGCAGATGAATGGAGTAATTACTTTCCAATGTACTGTAGAAAAACAAACATTTTTGTGATCTTCACTGGACAAATTTTAGAAGTGGTTTTTGAATTTTTATTCCAAATCACATCATTCATTATCTTTGTCAACATATATAAAAAACAACTAAGCTTTTTATGAATTATGTATGGCCTTGCTTCATTCCTCACTTATGAGTAAAGAAGAACAGTAAAAAAAATCACAGAATAAGTAAAACTTAAAGATCTTACCATTTCTGATTGATGCTTTTTGTTAGTGGTGGTGCTAGGGATTGAATCCAGGGCCTTGTGCATGTGAGGTAAGCACTCTACCAACTGAGCTATATCCCAAGCCTGATGCTATTGCTTTTGTAACTAATGATTAATTACATGTTGTGAGCAATTTAGTTCTTAATTTTCTTCAGATTTTAATTTTTAATAGCTTTGGTCAAATGTAGTCATCATGTTTTAAAATACTTCCACATCAAAGAGGTTTTTTTTTTCTTTTTAGTTTGATCAAAAGAAAAATAAATTCATTGGATCACAATACTTCTTCACAAAATTATCAAAAAGTTATCATTTTATTGTTTTATTTAGAATTAAGTAACATGTGGATGTTCAACAGGATTATAGTCCAGAAGAGACAAACAGGTTTTTTCTGATGGTGGCACTTGCACCTTCAGTAACTCAAAAAGCTGTCTGTCTAGGATTGGAACTCAGCATGATCTGCACACTTACTCTTAACTTAAAGCAATTTTTCTTACTTTCTTAGACATTTTAACAACAGATACATATTATTCATATGTCTAGTTGGGTATGCATTCCATTCTTATTTGGAATATTTAATCTCATTCCTCTTTACTTTGTAGCTCTATTATTTCAGTTTTCACTGAAATAATAGTGTGGAGTGATACTTTTATTTAGTGAAACATTATTTTACATCACACTGAAACATCTGATTATTTTCTAAATATCCAGCTTTTCAGTAAAACTAGAAGTTATTTTTCAATAAAATAACTTTTCATTTCTGCCTTGGCATGTAAGGAAATTTGAAGTTATTACTTTGTCTTAACAACAGGATTAAACTGAACAGAGAAATCAACAAACTTCTTAAATCCAAAGGAGAAGAAAGTCAGAAGGCAAACCCTTGTTCACAATATTTCAGAGACCTAAAGACAAATACAGAGAATTATATCTTCTTCTAGGAGAAACTTCTTCTAGCCTCAGTTTCCCACCAAGAGGAAGAAAATGGAGATGCATCAGCAACAGTCCAGTCCAGATGCACAGGATCACCAAAGACAGATCCAATCATACAACTKTAGAATGTTTCATGTTCCCCACATCTTACCACTACATTACTAGAGACACATATATTTAGAACCTTCTTTTACACAGTAAATCATGTCTAGCTATCAAAAAATTATAAAACTTAAAAAGGCAGAAAACATGGTTTGAAGAGATAGAACAAACATCAGAACCAGTCAGATATAGCAGGGATGTTGGCCAATCAGATAGGAAACTTAAAATATCTATGATTAATATACTAGGGGACCTAATGAACGGGCAGCATGCAAGAACAAATGGACAATTTAAGTAGAATTATGAACTTTCTTATAAAGAACAAAAAATGCTAGAGATAAAAATCACTATAAGAAAAGTGCATAAAGCCTTTGATGGGTTTATTAGTAGCCTTCACATGGTTGAAGAAAGAAACCCTAAGCTTAAGGATATCTCGATATAAAACTTCAAAACTGAAAAACAAACAGAAAAAAAAGAAAGGAAAAAAGAATATTCTAATCTGTGAGACAACTACAAGAGTTGAATATCTATTATAGGAATACCAGAAAGAACGATAATAAATACTTGAAACAATAATGACTGAGAATTCCCCCCAAATTAATGTCTGACACACCAAAGTACAGACCCAGGATATTCAGGGAACATCAAGCAGGCAGACCAATGAAAATAGATGTGCACACACACTCATACACACTTGTACATATAAGCATAACATAATCTAACCACAGAAAATCAAAGGTAAAGAAAAATTCTGAAAGAAGACATACAGTCTATACATATGGTAGATATTATCTTTACTGTATGTAATAAAATATAAACATATTTAATACCCATATTATGTTAAGCATTTTAGTTTTATATATATATCACACTATGTAGGTTAGTTCTATAGTATAACATAAATATGTATGTATATGTTAGTTAAATATGTATGTGGTATGTGTGTGTGTGTGTGTGTGTGTGTGTGTATAAACGTATACATCACCATAATAAAATGCCTGATACACATCACTTATGAAGTAAAGTCAGGGTTGTTTTGGCACGGTTCTGCAGGTTCAAGTCCAACATTGGACAGCCACATACATGATTTGGATCTCAGGTGAGAATGACATATTATGCCAAGAACAAAGCAGAGAGATACTTCAACAGAGGTGCCACTATCCCCATTAAGGATATACCCCAATTATCTAAGAACCTCCTACTAGGCCTCATTTCTTAAAGGTCCAAAGCACCTACCTACAGCACCACCCTGGAGACCAAGCCTTTACATTATAGACCTCTGGAGAACACTCATATAAACCATAGCAATCTGCATATATAATTTTAGAATGTTTTAAATAAATATATATAACTATAAAATGAAGAATACAAAACAAATTTCCTAATCTATTGAAATAATACAAAGTCCCTGTGGGACAAAAGACATTTTCTAATACATGGAACATCTGCATCATCAGATGTGGGGATTACCAACTCATGAGTATCATACTTCTGCTTCTTTGCACTTGGGAAATTTTAAGACAATGGAGACCAATGTGATCATGTTCTCATTCTCCTATCTTTAAGAAAGGAAATGGAACCTATCAAACTAACATTCTGGTGAAGCATTACATCCTAATATCTAAAAAAATTGCTTCTTCTAACATGTAAATCTATTTCTCATAGTGTAGGTTACAATAAGGAACTAAAATTTCCAAGTATATCAGAGCAATAGAATTAAAATACTTGCTCTCTCTGAGGCCTCAGGATTTGTTTCATATTGTAACAAATTGATCTGAATTTCAAAGGAGTCATGTCCATGTTGCATGAAGTTTATCAGCTAAGGTAGGTCTGTGAAATAAACCATTGTTAACACTGGATAAAAGGGATGCAAGTACTCAGCACTACCATCTCAAGAGGAAGGAAGTAAAATGATAAAAGATGGAAAAAGATTCTCATAGCTAAGTCTTAAATACACCCACTGTATGTCCAGCTCTCTGCTAAATGTGTGAGATTTGGAGTCCAAGCCTTCTTTTACAGTTATCAAAAGTGTGGGTGATACAGATGAAAATTGAAATTTTGAATGCAAAGATGGACACCACACTGTCAAGGGAAAATTGGGAATGAGTTAGGTGTTGAAGAAAATGAGACTTTTTCCACCTAAAGAAAAAACTTTTTTAGGTTTTTTGCATTTCATGTCAGTCAGCCTACATGTGTTGCGCTTAGTGCTTTTGTCATTTCCTCATCTTGTTATTTCCTGGAGTGAGGAAAATAGACGAGTTGTACAGTAAACTCCCTTAACCTTATGCAAGAAGGGAAATCCTGAGTTAAATGCACAGTCACCAAACAAGCTAATCTATGTCTACTAGTGTTGAACTATCTAAAAGGAAATAAAGTGTTGATCATTCATCATTCATTTTCCCTGGAATCTTACAAACCGAACACTCCTGGACCCAGAAACTGAGAAGGGAGAGAGAAAGAAAGAGAATGAATTCATCCAAACCATCTGCACTACAATGCACAGGTAAACTTGCAACTCTTTTATTTCTTCCTTATATATTTTATTGAAAAAGGAGATAAATATGGTGAGGGGCAGGACAATAGAAAAGCACTCAGTGGAATTAAGAAAAAAATGGGAATGAGAAGAGGAAAAAAGAAGGTTTAATGAGACAGACAGAGAGAAGGGGGGGGGAGAGATTGAGACTGATTAGAAGACTATATGTCATACTGGAAGCTTGTTGACTTGAATGCTAGGAGAACTACCAGACTGCTATTTCTCCTTTTCTTTGATGCCCTGAGTCACTTCACTTCTGTGGAACTCACTTTCCTTGTCCTTAAAATGTATATTAGGAAGAGGGGGGAAGCTAATACAGGATTGTCAATGCTTTTTTAAATTTTTAAATTTTTTTGTCATTTTTTTGTCAATGCTTTATCTGATTAATTTACAGCAAACTTGATAAAAGAGACACTGAAGAGAAAGGAGAGACAAGAAAAGCAGAAGGGATAAAAGGGAGAGAAACAAAAAGAGCCTTATAAATATGAAAGTACTTTTTTAACTAGAAGAACTAGAAGGAAAAAAAATTGTATAACTGAGTTCATGAGTCAAAGTCTTAAAATTAGTGATGGATTACTCTTAAAGTGGGGTCCTCATACCAGCAGCATCTGCAACCCCTGAAAACTTGTTGGTTCCAAATGAGCTCCTCTAAATTGCTAACTCTGGGGGTAAGGCTCAGCTATCTGTTTCAGCAAGCCCAGCAGGTGATTTTGCTGCATGCTGACACTTGAGAATTACACAATACAAACAATTCAAGTGGAAAGAAAGAAGAAAAAATAAGACTCTCTTAAATCTCTGTTGTTATCTTGTCCCAGGAAGATTGACTGTGTTTGAGTCTGCCTTTCTACAGAGAGAAGATTCTTCTCTTCCAACGCATTCTTATGGACTGTGGCCAGTGCCTCCATCCTGCTTCTCAGTGCCTGTTTTATCACCAGATGTATCGGTGGGTTCTGAAGGTCAAGTTTAATCCAATTCTCTACAATAATATTAAGAGTAAACTCTTCCTTGCTGCCTCTAGCTTTTCTTCTCCTGAAACATGTATTCTATTTTGTTTTTTTCCCTCTTAAACTCCGGGCTATTCTTCAAACCAGAAACCCCCAACTACTAGAGGACCATTACCAGATTTCAGTGATCTCTGGCACAGTTTTCACCTCCCTGTTGCTAGAGCCCTCCCATTGTACCCTTATCATTAATGTACTCTTCTCTGTGAGACAATAACCTGGAGCTTGGATTCACTGGTCAGGACCAGATGTAAAAACAAATTACTTTTTTGTAAGAAAGGGTTGAGAAGTTAAACTTGGAATAAGAGGAAATGCAAACATTTTTGGTTTTTCTAGGTCTTTGGGTCTGAAATAAAGTGTACTCATCTTTAAAAGTCAGGGAAACTATGAAGTTTGAAACTGTCTTCTCCTTTTTAGGAAGTGAATCCCAGTGCCTCTGTAGATGGAATGAAAAGTAAATAGGATATAAACATCATAATAATTATTGCCACTTTTGTTATGAACACTAAACTGAGAAAAATTATAAATAACAACAAAAAAAATGAGCATTAACTGGGCCCTTTTTCTTACAGTGACATATCACAGCTTTCAAATTTGTGATGAGAAAAAGTTCCGACCACATGAGAATTTACGGGAGCTCTCCTGCAATAATGATGGTTCAGGTATAACAGGCCCCACTGTTGAATATCAAAATTTATAAATCTACACTTTACGGCTTCTAGACTGATTTTGGAATAAGAAAATTATCATTAGATAAGATCCTGTTTTTTAAAACAAAATGTGAAATCCTGTCTATACTATAAAAGAATGTTGAGGAAATGGTCAGGATAGAGGACAAAACTTTGGAAATGTAATTAGCGTTGAGTCAGAAAATTTCAGGGACATTTGAGAAAAGTTTACAATAAATTTGAGGATGTGTCTGAACAGTAAATCTGTAAACAGAAAGTGTATACTATTTTCTTTTTCTTTTACCTGTATCCAAAATAAGGTAAAAGAGAAAAAGAGTACAGAGTAGAGAATTTGGTAGTACCTCAGAAATAAACTGCAAATACCTGTATATCTTGTCTTGCTACAAGTCTTGGAAAAATGCTACATGATACTGGGAAATGGACTTTCTTCTTTGAGTTATAATTTCCTCACCATTAAATTGAGAGATTTTTGTATTTTTTTTAAAGAAACTTCAAAGGCTAATATTGTATTATTATTAGAAATTTTGCCAGTCTTTATGCCTTGGTTGAGAATACATTTTTAGGTAGCAAAAGAGACACTTGCTTAGGAGTCACCCAGGAAAAAATACATAGCTTGCATTTTCTGCCCTTAATAGTCTAAGAACAAACGAAAGGGTTCTATATCAATTGCATAACTTAAATAGATGGCATGTATTGTTGTATTTACTAGCACGGACATCTAGAAAATAAAGGTATGTTCAACAGACAAGAAAAATGTTGTTTATATATTTACTGATATTGGAACTATCTAAAGTCTCAGTAAGATGTGGGGAATGAACAAGGATTTCTGAGGCTTCTGTTATCAATGCTGGTCTCCATAGGATCAGAAGAAATGTTATGTTTTCTTACTCAGTTCATTTGAGGCACTAACTGAAATTTCTCTTCTCCCAGGATCAGTGAAGAATTGCTGTCCATTGAACTGGAAACATTTTCAATCTAGCTGCTATTTCTTTTCTACAAACACCATGTCCTGGTTATCAAGTTCAAGGAACTGCTCAGGCATGGGAGCTCATCTGGTGGTTATCAACACACAGGAGGAACAGGTAATTGTAGTACAGGCTCTTTCAGTGTTGATGTAGTATTCTCCACATAATCCATCCCTTTTCCCATACATGGGCCAATGTTTGACCCAAACTACAATTTATTAAATAGACATAATTCAATGCATGCTGCTTCTAATACTTCTAATATTTGTTTTAATTTATCTTCATTACTAGATGAACCTAACCAAAAGGTGATTTCCTTGTGGAGTTACACTATTATTTAGGGGAAAGAAAATTGGGAATTAATTTTAGAATAACCCTTTTGTTTATGAACATATCATATGAGAGAAGAAAGGCAACTACTGTCCATTATTTTTAAATTATGATTACAAATGTTTTGTGCTATAGATAGACAAGAGATTTGACTATCTATAAAAGTAAATAAACTTTGAATTAATTGTTGAAATTCTCCTGTTGATTGTTACCTTTTAAGTTTCATTTTAATGTGTATTTTACTACTATAAAAAATTAGAAGGTAATCCTTGATGATATTATGATTTCAGATTCATTGATCTATCATTTCTTGTCTTGATCCTACTTTACCTCTTTCAATTGCAATTACTTGCAACATCTCTTCTGAAGTGAAATAGCTGATTTTCTCTTTTTTGATTTTATATCTTACATAGGAATTCCTTTACCATGCAAAACCTAAAAAGAAAGAGTATTTTATTGGACTGACAGACCAAGTGGTTGAGGGTGAGTGGCAATGGGTGGATGACACACCTTTCACAGAGTCACTGAGGTAAGCACCTTCCTGTAGGAAAATAACCACATTACCCACAGTCCTAAAGTTAGACCACTGTTGAGGGGCATTCTCAAAACTTTTTGTTATTGTTGATACATGAAGAACATTCAGGTTGTATTAGATTCTGAAAGAGGAAAAGGTCGTATAGAAGAGAGAAAAGAGGCACAATCTCTTACTTCTCCCATTTCCTGGAACTGTCTCAAGAATCAAGGAGAAATGATCAATGAAAATAGGAAGGAGATTAGAATGAAATATGTAAGTTGCAAAATAAAGAATAGAATACAGTTTTATGCCCAAAAACTAGATAAGTGAAAAAAACAGTGTTTTGAGAAAGCATGTAAAACTTTTTAAAAATGGTTTCCCACTTATAATGTGAAAGTGGGAACCCTTTGATAATGTCCCTTTTCTCCTTAATAATTATATTGAATTATTAGAACACAGCACTTAAGTTTTTCTCTCATTTGTTATTTCATTTTACCTAAATTATCCCTTGCTGAGAGACATCAATGTACTTAGTCTTCATCTAGCATTTGGGGAAGCTAAATGTCAAAGGATTAAATGTCTTACTCAGCTAATAAACTGCAGTTTTAAGAATAAAACCCAGAGACTCGGATTCTCTAGAGAAGTTGCTTCATTACAGCACTGTGAAATTTAAGGGTATATCTAAGTTAATACATACTATGAGTAGAATAACGAGAACCAACTTTAACATAAGGTAAGAATGCAAAGGAAATAAATCCATTAGATAATCAAGCCTCCCCATAACTTCTCCTTATGGGTTTAAAACCATGAAGAGGCATGACAGAATAGAAAGTCTAAAGAATCCAGTTCACTTTTAAAACCCACAAATTCTATGAGTTGGACAAATGGTCTTGCTTTTCTGAGATTCCTTTTCTTCCCTGACAAAATAAAGATAATAATTTCTACATCAAAAATTATTGTAAATAACACAAATGTGGTTTGCCTTATGTATTAGGTCACTTTATTTCCTCTTGCTGGGATTTAAAATCTCCCATGTTGGTCTTTTTCAGCTTCTGGGATGCAGGAGAGCCTAACAATTTAATTACGCTGGAGGACTGTGCCACCATCAGGGACTCTTCAAATGCAAGGAAAAATTGGAATGATATACCGTGTTTCTACAACATGTTTCGGATTTGTGAAATGCCAGAAATAAATGCTGCAAACTAAGACAAATCTTTAAGAACTATATGCATGAATTAAATATATAAATGATAAGGAACAAGAACATGAATATATCCATAGCCTAACAAGAGAAAATAGTCATTGCATACCATAAGGACTTCATAAGTATTCATTACTTAGATATAAATAAAACAAGTGTTTTTCAATGTTATAATTTATGATGCTGACTGAAGTACATTCTCCTCCATGTTAGGGCCTCCTCTCAGAATTTTCAAAGCAATCCACTAGTCATGAGAGGCAAGGAATTTTCCTTATGATACACTCACCTCATTGGTATTTATATGAAAGTACAGGGACATAGAGCAAGTACAGAGTAAAACAAAGAAGATTTTGGAAAATTCCTTTGAATTATTGCCTGTTGTCCTTTTCTAGCTCCTGAAAAGCCTGTCTTTTCTCATGTTGTTTTTCATCTCCTGTCCACACATACATCTTCTCTATGTTTTCCTGTATAATAACTAAGATGCATCTTCAAGTCATGAGATAAAATATATGTTGATTTCTCTGTTCCTCTGACTAAACATTTCTGATGACTCCTATGTCATGTAAAACTTTTATTAAATGAATCTATATGGTTTCATTTTATTAATTTATCTTCTGTATTGGGACATCAGCCATGGATGTTGTGATTCAGAAGGGGAAAAATTATTCATTTTTCTCCTATACAAAGAAATCATACAACATGATACTTTTTCAATATTAAATTTAATTTTATTTTTATTAAGCGAAAAATTAAAAATGTAAAGGTTCTAGAACTTCAAAAAATGTATGTTTTATAGATTACCATATAAAACTTTTTCCTAAAATGTTGCTCTGTCTGGACTGGGGTGTAACTCAGAAGCAGAGCTCTTGCCTAGCATGTACAAGGTCTGGGTGGCAACTTATAAAAATAAGTTTCTCCGAAGTAAAGAAAAATTATAAAGAATCATGTAAAGTGTTCTTACTCTTGTATTTCTTCTTTCCGGTCCCTTTCCCTTTCTTGATGATGCAGTCTGATAATCATTCATTAGGTGGGGAGCAGGATATTTTATATATGTATTTATGAGTACAAGTCTTGCAATCAAGTTTAAAATTTTCTCCACAACCATGAAATTCATCTGGAAAAATAAGGGACCCAGAATAAAGCAATTCTAAGCAGGAAGAGTGAAACATGTGGTATATCTATACCAGACCTTAAAGTATACTACAGAGCAATAGTAACAAAAATAGCATGGTATTGGCACCAAAGCAGACTGGTACAGCAAGTATAGAATAGAGGACACAGAGGCTAACCCACAAAATTACAACTATCTTATATTAGACGAAGGTGCCAAAAACATGAACTGGAGAAAAGTTAGCATCTTCAACAAATGGTGCTGGGAAAACTGGAAATCCATATGCAACAAAATGAAATTGAATCCCTGACTCTCACCATGCACAAAAGTTAACACAAAATGGATTGAGGATCTAGGAATTAAACCAGAGACTCTGCGTCTAATAGAAGAAAAAGTAGGCCCTAATCTTTACCACGTGGGCTAGGCCCCAACTTCCTTAATAAGATGCCTATAGCATAAGAATTAAAACCAAGAATCAATAAATGGGGTGGATTCAAACTAAAAAGTTTTTTTTCTCAGGAAAAGAAACAATTTGTGAGGTGAACAGAGAGCCTACATCCTGAAAGTAGATTTTTACCCCTCACACATCAGATAGAGTACTAATCTCTAGGGTATATAAAGAATTCAAAAAGCTAAGCACAAAAAAAAAAATAATAATAATCCAATCAATAAATGGGCCAAGGACCTGAACAGACACTTCTCAGAAGAGGATATACAATCAATCAACAAATATATGAAAAAATGCTCATCGTCTCTAACAATCAGAGAAATGCAAATCAAAACTACTCTAAGATACCATCTCACTCCAGTCAGAATGGCAGCTATGATGAAGACAAACAACAACAAGTGTTAGCGAGGATGTGGGGAAAAAGGTACAGTCATACACTGCTAGTGGGACTGCAAATTGGTTCAGCCAATTTGGAAAGCAGTATGGAGATTCCTTGGAAATCTGGGAATGGGACCACCATTTGACCCAGCTATTCCTCTTCTCGGACTATACCCAAAGGACCTAAAAGCAGCATACTACAGGGACATAGCCACATCAATGTTTACAGCAGCACAATTCATAATAACTAAACTGTGGAGCCAGCATAGATGTCCTTCAGTGGATGAATGGATTAAAAATGTGGCATTTATACACAATGGAATATTATTCATCAATAAAAAAGCACAAAATCATGGCATTTTAAAGTAAATGGATGGAGTTGGAGAAGATAATGCTAAGTGAAGTTAGTCAATCCCAAAAAATCAAATGCCGAATGTTTTCTCTGATATAAGAGGGGTGACTCAAAGTGGAGTAGGGAAGGAGAGCATGGGAGGAAGATTATTTCTAGATAGGAAAGAGCAGTGGGAAAGGGAGGGGAAAGAGGAATAGCAAGGATGGGGGAATGTGATGATCACCATTATACAAAATATATGTATGAAAATTTGAATTTGGTGTCAATGTACCTTATACAAACAGAGATATGAAACATTGTGGTATATATCTGTATTAAGAATTGTGATGCAAAGGAAAATTACATGTATAATGGCAAAAAAAGAAAAAAGGGCTGGAGTTGTGGCTCAGCAGTAGAGTGCTCACCTAGAGTGTGTGCCCCTGGGTTCAATCCTCAGCACCATGTAAAAGTAAATAAGTAAAAACAAAAGTGTACAAGTAAAAGAAAAAATATTTAAATTTTTTTCCTCCAAAAAACTTGTACACATTTTGTCAAGTTTATTCCACTGTATATTTTTGTTGCTATTTTAAGCATAATGTTTTATTTGAAAGTATTTTTTATATTTTATAGAGTATTGTATTGTCAATCTTTATATATTCATAATTTAGCCAGAAATATTTCTAAACTCCCCTATTTTTTAACATTTGGCCTTATGGTCCCTGATATTTTCTATGTAGATATTTATACTCTCCATATAACTGAGCTAATAGTTCATTGGTTACTAGTCACAGGAGGCTATTGGGTATTATCCTAATTGAGATATACTAGAAATATAAAATACACATCAGATTTTTGAGAACTTGGAAAAAAACAACTATAGCACTAATAATTTTATATTGATTACATGATAAAAAGATAATCTTGGATATCATTTGAATATGTTGATTTAAATAGAATAAGTTTTTTGAATTAATTTCACCTGTTTCTCTTTATTGTTTTATATGAATTAAACATATATGGTTCATATTTTGGGCTTCCAGTATGTTTCCTTTAGACAGTTTTGGTATAGAAATAATGAGAATTTTACTTTTTGCCTAGAGTTTTATTTTTATATTAAGCTAGCTAAGATAACCAATACTTTATTGCATAAAAGCTGCTATTGTGAGCACTTATTTTGCTCTTGTTTTCTCTGATATAATATACTAATATTTTATATATTTTAAATATAATAATATTTATTATATTTTACAAAGAAAGCTTCTAATAGTTAACATTGAGTAGAACAGTTGCTACAGATTTAGTGTAGGCACCCTTTAGAATATTCCTTTTATTCCTTATTTGTTAAAAAGTTGAAACTAAGTGGTTTATTGATTTTATTAGATGATACTTGCTATCTTTTAAATATGGTTTGACCATGTCCTCTGAAGTTGCATGTGCTGCAAACTTGGCCTCCAGAGTGGCAATGTAAGAAGTGGTGGAACTTTTAATAAGTGGGGCCTGAGGGAAAGTAATTAGGCCAGTTGAGAGCACTACCCTTGGAAGGGACTAATGTAGTTTTAGTGGTACTACATACATAACAATTTTAAGAGGTTCAAACAATGACTTCCTTTCTAGTTTGAACTGTAGCTTTATAGCTCTAAAATATTTTAACAATAAATATGAATGGGTTAAAATGTGACTCTTTCCTTCATGTGAAAATGAAGACACCAATAGAGTGGAACTCCAAATAAGTAGTAAATTTTAACCGTTATCTAAGAGCCAAATTATCCCCAGTAACTTTCCTATAATTCCAAAGGGAATACATTTCATCTCTACTAAAAGATAGATCTCAGCCATAGTAATGATTATCATGAGCAAGCAATACAAAGGTGAGCTTTTTATCTTCCCAAGGATCTTTTTCCTTCAATCCTATAGAATTGAAGGTATTTGGTTCAAGTGGCCAATAATGGGCTTTTCCACTAAAAATGATAATAAGTCAGTTTGATACATTCTGCTTTCAAAATTATTTAGAGTGGAGTAAGGAGGTTATTCATTGTTTTTCTACCTGTGCAGTACCATAATTTAGAACTGCTTTATACTGTGGTTCTGGAAAATTTTCTGTCACAAATGTCAGTATAATGACATTACTTCAACGTCTGAAAATGAAACATCAAACAATAAAAATATCACATAAATATTTCAAAGTCTGTGATACTTGGGTAAAAAAAATGATTCACCACTACCAGTTAAGAATTCTAAGAGTTAAGATTTAAGAGAAAAATGACAAAAAGATTGCTTTATTCAAGTGATTCTGCTAGATATATAATCAATGCATACCAAACAAAAAGTAATTACCTGGAGACAGTATCAAGAAAGCAAAGATAATGAAACTGGTTCTCATGGAATAGAGGATTCTTTCCATGAAAACACCACACAAAATCACATTATCTTGTACACACACACACACACACACACACAATCTTGAATGAGTTGAACAAAAATAAATAAGGGCATTCTGACTGAAAAATGCTCTATGACTCCAAGTTTTCTCTGTTTGAATGATGCTTTACATTCTGCCCTGCTTGATTTGGTTTTTCTTTTCTGTTTCCATCACAAGGATCACTTTGTAGGTTTCTAGTTGAATACTGTTCCAGGTATCTTACAAATTCTACTTGTCTCAAAGTTACAAGGAAAATCATTCCAGGCCCATTTATCTTGGGCATTAACAATGACAACACAGTCTTCTTCCTGAAAGTTGTTAGGTTCATCCTCATGCCAGAATCTGAAAGAAAGAAGAAACAGAGAGAGATATAGATGATATGGATTACAGATATAGTTATCAGGGGACCATGTCAGAGAAAATGTCCATATTGAACATTTTAGTGCTGCACTGTGCAATGCAAGAGTCACTATTTGATGTGACTCTTGAGCACCTATTGAGCACTTGAAATGTGACCTCTCCATATGAGATGTGTTTAAGTGTTGTGTACACCGTACTTTGAAAACTTAGTACAAAAAGAAAGGGTTTAAACATCTTACTAATAGTTTTCTGTTAATCACACATTGAAACAAGATTTGGATTATTGGGTTAAATATATTATTCATGATTATTAAAGCATTATTAAAATAAATTTTACTATTTCATTTTACTTTATTCTTGTGATTGCTAAAACATTGTAATTGTACTTTGTGATTTTGTTTATTTATATTAGACAATATTGGTTTCACAGAAGAAAAACAGGATATAATTCTCAATAATAATTTTTATCAGCAGGACATAGTGGCACACATGTAAAGCCAAAGACTCAAGAAGATCACAATTATGTTCAAGGTCAGCCTTGGAAACTTAATAATACCCTGTCTCAATATGAAAAATAAAGGAATGGAAGTATATCTCAGTAGTATAATGTACACACACACACACACACACACACACACACATACATACATATATAGTAGTATACTCTTAACTGATAGTGAAGACATATATATATATATATATATATATATATATATGTTGTTTATATATATAGTGAAGACATATATATTATGTTGTTTATACAAATGTCAAGTTTAAGGACTATTTTCTCAAATAACTGTTAAGCTATCCATTCTTCCATCAATATTGAATAAATAAAAATACCAAAAATTTTGCTAAAGTCAGGATTATTCTGCAACTGGGTGTGGCCTACAGAGGCTACTTGATCCACACTGCTCTATTCTGAGTAAATATTTTACATTGGTGTATTCCACTCTACAATGAATTCTTCTTGCTACATCTTCTCACATTTGCCTATAAGTCCCCTTAGCCCCAACCAATATACTCACGCCATGTGTGGATTAAATGGTGTCTGGTCCACCCAGTGCCATTGACCTTCAATATCCTCATCTGTAAGTCCCAGGAAATATGAAAATCGTCTATCCAAAAATTTAGTCGTAAAGTTCTGCACACAAAATATAGATTTTTATAAATATATTTGAATTTAAGCCATAGCTGTTTTATTGAGAAAGAGAAGTCAAATAGATTACTTGTTTAGTACAAAGATTTGATATCAGGTCTGTTTTCAAATCCTGCTTCTAAAGATTTTCGTAAATGCTTTTGTCTTACTGAATCCCCAGTTTTCTCATCTCCAAAAGGAACAACTTACTACTTCATAGAGTTACTGTTTAGATGAAACGAGTTCATATTTGAAGCCCTCTTAATACCTGCTTAATAGCATTTTATTTGTAGAGGCCTTTGTTTCTAAAATTGCCTTTTTTAATTGTTTCTTTAAATTACATTTATTTGAACAGCAGCAAACCTATAGATGGAAAAGGCTTAGAGATAGAATCCTCAAGGAAATTATTGATTAAGAATAGAATCTGAGTCATAAATATATGAGGAAATAAGTTTCATCTTTGAAAAACTGAACTTACCCAAAGATTTCTTCATTTGGAATTAGAACTATACATCTCAATCATTTTGTCTGTACTTTATCTTGAGAAGCTATATCAATCCTGATTAATCACTTGTTTATCCATATACTTACCAAGCATTTAATAAGTCTTATCCAGTGTGCCTACCTGGCTCTGCACAGAACACTGGAGATACAAAGATGAGTATAGTAAGGCTCCAGCCCTCTCCCAAGTGGGAGTCAATGGAAGAGATGGTGTAGCAAACAGACATTTTAGTACACTAGAGTAAATGCTACGACCTCACTTGCAAATGAGTTACAACTGTACCTACAACTTAGAATATGGATGGTGGAGTAGGGAAGGTCATCAGAGTCATTTTCTGGAAGAGATAATGTTTGAATAAAACCCGGAAAGATGAGAAGTTGACAATATAAAGAAAAATCCCTAATTTTCTAACATGTAAAAAATGTTTCACATATAGATGTATATATTACTATATAATTCCACATGTATGTAATGTTTCTATTATCAGAGAAATGGTGAAGTATACTGTCACATATGGTGGGCTTTACTATTAAAACCACAGTTTACCTGGGTGCAATAGCCCATGCCTGTAATCCCAGCTACTCAGGATACTGAGGCAGGAGGATCACCAATTCAAAGCCAGCCTTAACAAAAGTAAGATGCTAAGCAACTCAGTGAGACTCCTGTCTCTAAACAAAATACAAAATAGGGCTGGGGATGTGGCTCAGTGAGTGCCCCTGGGTTCAATTCAATACCCGATACCCCCAAAGAAGAAGAAGGAGAAGGAGAAGGAAGAAAGGAGGGAGGGAAGGAAAGAAGAAAAAAATGAGAGAAGAAGAAAAGGCCTACCAAGCATATGGAATAGATGAAGAAAAGATCCAGAGGTCTAGAAGAGCAGAGACATTCTTTCCCTGAAAAGAGATTCAAGCAGTAGAGAAACTGTGGTAGAGTTCCTGACAAACCTGCTCAGCTTCTGTGCTGATTGTCGCCAGATGGGCTCCCATCTCTGAACAGTTCCTTTCACTCTCAGCCCATGTTTTGTTGTCATTAAAAGGAAGATAGCAGTTGGACTGAAAGCCTTTCCAGCCAATAGGACAGCAATTCCAGGTATCTCCTCAGGTGAAAATTGAAATGGAAATTAGATAATTTTTTTTTCATCTGTGACAAATTGCATAACTATTCTATGACTTAATATCCATTTAACATTTGTGTAAGTAATACCAGGATTACCACAATCATTATCTCCCATTTCCCACCCCCCAGCAAAATTCCAAAAAACTAAGTTCTTAATATCTTCTAAATAATAGCACCTGAAACCACATAATGTCGATGAAAAAATTGCAGACTATTCTCTTCAAAAACAATGTCCCTATATCTATCTATTTACTTTCAAATATAAAGTGTTTCCTTAAAGTCTTTTGCAAGACATCTTATCAGAAGGAGTCAAAAGAAAATCTGTTAAAACTCAAGCATTTCTCCATTCTCTTAAATGAGACTGCAAATAAGAGAAAAAAGATATCTCAGCTGAGCTATATAGTCTAAGAAGAATCTGTCCATATAATAAATTGGAATTAAATTCATGTTATATTTTTGATGTCAAAAATAGCCCATGAATGTGTTATTATATTTTTTCCAGTTATTCCACTGAGTGTAGTCATGAGAAATATTTTTCCCAGTTTACTTATATATTCACCTCTATGCTAGATTCTTCTTTATGTTATTTTACTCCTCCTTGGCTTACTGCTTATATTCTTTAAGTCAAATTATGAATTTGAATAGAAATGAAAATAAGAAGACATTTGTTTATGCTCTCTGCTATCTATACCTTTTAGTCCTGATTCTTCTCTGATGCATGTTAGCTTCATATGATACTCGGGTAACTTGAACCTTTGCATTCCTCTCTTACGTAAAAAAATGTGATATGTCACTGTCAAGAAAGAAAAGTTTAGTTTTCTTTCTTTACATAACCAACTTTAATAGAAAAATTAAAGCAGTCTAAATTTTCTCTTACTGTAATAGTTAAAGCCCACACATTCTCTTTTCTTCCTATTCAGTTTCTTTGTGCCAGCAACAAGTGAATTGGTTGAAAGCAACTAGGAATGGAACCACCATTTGACCCAGCTGTTCCTCTCCTCAGTCTATACCCAAAGGACTTAAAAACAGCATACTATAGGGACACAGCCATATCAATGTTTATAGCAGCACAATTCACAATAGTTAAACTGTGGAACCAACTTAGATGCCCCTTGGTAGATGAATGGATTAAAAATGTGGCATATATACACAATGGAATATTACTCAGCAACAAAAAAGAATAAAATCATGGCATTTGCAGGTAAATGGATGGCGTTGAAGAAAACAATGCTAAGTGAAGTTAGCCAATCCCCCCCAAAAAAACCCAAATGCCAAATGTTTTCTCTGATATAAGGTGACTGACCCATAATGGGGTAGGGAGGGGAGGATGGGAGGAACAGACAAACTCTAGATAGGGCAGAGGGGTGGGAGGAGAAGGGAGGGGGCGGGGGTTAGCAATGATGGTGGAATGTGATAGACATCATTATCCAAAGTACATGTATTAAGACATGAATTGGTGTGAACATACTTTATATACAGAGAGATGAAAAATTGTGTTCTGTATATGTAATAAGAATTGTAATGCATTCCACTGTCATGTATTTAAAAAATAAAAATCAATTAAATATTTTTTAAAAACCAATTGTTGAAAATTATATTTGATATTAATATGTATTAGTAATTTTTCTCTGAAATATGGCCAAATGCTTTAAAGAAAGTGGAAAACATAAATGTACAGTTTAGAAAACTATTGTAACATGTAATAATAACATGTTAAACTCCAGGTATTTTGTCCTACTCAAGAAATAGAATATTGCCAGTGGCCTTCAGAACCCAAATGCATTCCACTTATTCTGTAAGGTAACCATTTCATGACTTTTAAAGTGCTTTGCTTCACAATTTTACCACTTTAATAATGTAATCCAAGACCATATGGAATCATGGAATGTATTCCTTTGGTTTTAATCTTCTGCTCAGTATTGTTTCTGGAATTTATCCATGCCAATGCAGGTGCAATAACTCATCCATTTCTTTGCTATAGTAATGTATAAAACATATTTATCTATTCTACTTCTAGTAGACATTTGTATTATTTACAGTGTTTGGCTGTTGTGAATATACTTCTCTGAGCAATATTCGCCACCATTCTAAAGCACATTAGCATGCATTTCTGTAAGGTAAATCCCTGGAAGTGCAATTGATAACGAAGCATAAACGTGTTATAAACTATAATTATGGTACACTTTTCCGAAGAGGTTGTCTGTTTCACACTCACACAAGCACCAAGTCTTTAGCAGTTCGGGTCCAATTTTCCATAGCATCAACAATATTGTGAAGTGCAGATTTTTTAATCACTACCATCCTGGAATGTTTGCATCGTATCTCATTGTGAGTTGCAGTTGTGTTTCTCCTGACTAATGAAGTTGACTTTCCTGTGTTTATTTGACTATCATTTTTCTTAAAATGTACTATTTAATATTTTGCTATTGTGTTGTAGATTTTTTCTATTGAATTGAAAAGATTTTGTAGTATAGATATCACATATATTAGTTGTATAGACTACAAATGTTGTCTTTTAGGGTTTTCTGTTTCCACTTTGTTATCTTGTTATGTGGTAACTCTTATTTCAATGTATTATAATTTGTTAAAGCTGTATTTATTTTATATGTGCATTTTGTGATTTAAGAAATCATTGCCCTATCAAGATCATAAAGATATTCTCCATTTATCTTTTTAAGATTTAATTAATTCACTCTTCACATTTTGGTCAATAATCCAATTTGGATGGATGTTTGTACTTAGTGTGATGCAGGAGCCTAGTTTCATTTATTGAATATAGATAAATTAATGGGTTTAAATATTAATTTAGCAAAATTATCCTCTTCTCATAACTATGCAATATTCCCTTCTGTTTTTATATAAAAAGTTTATGTATACAGGATATGTAATTAAAATCTCTATTATTTCCTCTAGTCTGTTTGTTTTTGTACCTGTGTAATATTACTTTTATTTTAATAATTTTATTTTGGGTCTTGATATTATAAAAAAACAAGTTTTCCTATGGTTGCGATGATACTTATGGTCCCATAAATATATACTTATCCTCAAACTTCATATATGTGTGTTAAGTACTTATAGCTTTTTATATGTCAACCATTTCTCAATAAAGTGTTGTTGGTTTTTTTTGAAAAAGGAAAGAAGAGAAGGAGGGAGGGAGGGAGGAAAAGAATTGGAGAGAGGGAGGGAGAGAGGGAGGAAGGAATAAAAGAAGGAAAGGGAGGGAGGGAGGGAAAGAAAGAAGGAGGCAGAGAAGGGAATGCAGGGTAACATCCAACTTTGCTCTCCCTTTCAAAGTCAGTACATTAGAAAGTTGTTTTTTTTCTGCTTATTCCCTACTCATAAGATGCAGCCCTTTGTAATTCCAATTCAAAACTTTACTATTTTCACCAGTTTTTACAAGTACCTAAAATAGTCTTTCATTCTGTGGCACAAGATAGCACCATCAAACAATAAAAGGCAACTAGGTAAGTCTAAATTTTAAATCAAATACACTGAATGTATTATACATTTATATGCTGGGGAAAATCAAGACAGTAAAAGGCTAGGATTAACCTTATGAAAGTTGTTTTCAAGAAATAATTCAATAAGAGTTCCACCTTAGCTAATAACTTACCAAAACAATTTGCAATAAAACAGGCACTGAGAAGAAAGATGCAAACAATTGCAAAGACCCAAGTGACCAGCTGGGAATGTTGGCCTCCTTGTCCTAAAAAACAAAACAAAAAGAAACTGGTTAGATAACTTTGCCAAAAAGTGTAAGAAAAGCAGTTCTACCAAGGAGCAAGCTAAATGTAAGAACATTCAAAACATTTTAGTATCTAGAGGACAGCTTAAATATTTCTTGTGAATATATTGATTATAGAGCTTACTGGTAAATAAATAATTGTGAACATTTTTATAATTTTGGAATAGGAAACATTTTAATAAACAAAACATAAAACCTGAAATCCATAAAAAGTTGAGAATTTGAGTACATAAAAATTAAAACTTCTATGTAACAAAACAACCTAAACCAATAAGGAATACATGAAAGAAAAGTCTTGTCCCAATATTACATCCATATTGTATAAAAATTTCAAAATCAATTATAAAACTGAGCAAAGCTTTGAGCAGAAAATATTCCCAAATTATAATTTGCTGAAATTATAAATGGTTATCAAGGTATGCTCAATCAGGAAACATGAACTATAATATTGTAGTGTAATTTGTCATATCAATTTGTAGAAGGAAAGTAAAAATTTCAGTGTTGGCAAGGATGTAAGGAAATAAGTACCCACAGTGAGGAAACAAATGCTGCTGAGACTGTAAATAAAAAAAAAAATCTTTCGGAAATATCAATTCAGTAGATTTTATCCATTTTTAAACTCATTCATTTTCTACAAATAAAAGAATGTGCATTGCAGTTTTTAATAGCTGTTGTTTTATTTATGGAACACCATCAAATAGTTGTGAACAAAAAGGACCTAATACTTACATATGTGTTATCAATATCATAGATTCTAAATTACAATCAGTGTATATAAAATGAAATTCTATGTAACAGCTAAATAATTATGCATATCATTATGTATTAGCATAAAAATTCCCAAGACATGTTGTTACATGAAAAGGCATTTTTCAGGACCACTATACAATGTGATCCCACTAAAGTTCACCTTGGTGGGTTGATGAGATTAAGCAAAACTTTAATTTTAAATTTAAATAATTTTTCATCAATTCTCCATATTTCTCAAAACTATTATTTAACATTTTTGCAACACAAATATTTTGGTATCCTTTAAGTCAAACAAAATCAGAGTCAGAGCCTATGATATACCATGAGCCTGAGGCAGTGTATTTCTACACCCTCCTTCTCTCTCCCCCTTAAAAGAATCCATCCAAGCAGAATGAAGTTGTCCAAGTTATGCTACGTACAAATATGAATACATTACACTGAATTTCACCTTTATGTATGTCTATACAACACCAATTAAAAATAATAAATAATTACAAGTAAAATAGAGAAACAGAAAGAGAGAGGAGAGGAAAGAGGAAATACTAAGGACTAAAATGAAGCAAATGGTATTCTACACGTGTATGTTTGTGTCAAAATGAAACCCCATTTGTATATAACTACAATGCACTAATAAAAGCATTTTTAAAAGAATCTTCCCAAATTACTCTCTTTCTTTTCACCTTACTTCTCTTTTATACTTTTATTATTCCTCTCTTGGTACAACCTATATTTTGTAAAGAACTTTCTGCTACCCAACTCATCTGTCTCTTCACCAAGGTCATCCTCATTTTCTCCCACTGCTCCTTCTCATTACTATCTTTGATCTTTGCAATCATCATCAATTCACATTGTTAACTCTTAGTTATCATTTCTGCTGCCTCTTTAAAACTGAAAAAAGTACTCACGTTTACTCTGAGTTTCTTCAAGCCTCATTGTGTGTTTACTCTATGTTGACCAGTGGTCAAGAGGACCAGGAACCTCGTCCTTTTTTTTCAGGGTATATATTTCTTTTTGCAGAGAAATATGTTCATAAATACTTGAGATTGAACACCAATCTTAGCTTCTGGTGAGGTCAGAAAGTTCCCAGTATAACTGTTGACTCAAAAGAAGAAGTCTTTTCAAAAATTGGGGTTTCCCTTGAATCATTCAGGCAGATGGGGCAAAGTGAAAAAGGAAATTGAGAAAGCAATGCCCCAAAAGAGTTGGTAGACACTTCAATAAGTATATTGAGATCCTTGGTGTGTCATGTAAGATTTCACAATTTGTTTTTGTTCATCTAGACAAAACATTATTAATGCTCTAAAGGAAATAACCATTATGCTGGATAAAAACGAAATACTCATCCCCTCATCTTTTGCTTTTCCTGGATATTGTCTTTTCAAAGGCAGTTATATGCATGGGGTAAACTCTGCCCTATGAATTTACTTGAACCAAGTGAGGCATTTTCTTCTAGATGGCAAAGACAAGTGAGCAATGAATAAAAGCTTTTAATGTACATTTTATATGTCTGTTGATGTGAAGATACAGAAGTCTTTGTTTTGGAATTGAGGGAAAGGTGATAAAAACTGTTCATTGAATTCCAGGATCTTCTTAAGTGAGAAAAAAAATAGGATTTCTAAGGCAAAGAAAAAGAAAATGGAAGATTCTGTGATACACACCAACAGGGCCCCTGACTTCACTTACAGTGGAGAGTGACTATTTGTTAGGTTAAAACCCTAACCTCCCATATTGTATCTGGAGATAGGACATTTGGTCAACAACTAGGATTAGATAAAATCATGAGGATTATGTTTTGGGCAGCAGAGTGTGTGGTTTGGCTTCCACACTGATTCTGGAATCAGTGCCCTTTTAAAAAGTGCACAGAGAGTTTGCACTTGATATATCTTGATCTCTCTCTCTCTCTCTCTCTCTCTCTCTCTCTCTCTCTCTCTGCCCCTACCCATCCCCTCATTCTCTCCATGTGAGGTTACAGAAAGAAACAACCATCTGCAAACCTGAAGAGGGCCCTCACCAGAACCTGCCTACATTGGCACCCCGATCTCCTACTTCCACCTTCATAACTGTGAGGTTGAGTGTTTGCTCCGCATCCAATCTCTGATACTTTATTTTAGTGGTTCACGGTGACTAATGCAAGTGCCTATCACTTTAGAGAGCTTTCTTAAAGTCCAGTTTCCAGAATATAGCCCTGTTTTAGTAAGTTCTTGCTTCACTGTGTCCAAACGACCTGATAAGGGAAACAGAGGAGGAAAAGTTTGTTTTAGCTCATGGTTTCCGAGGTTTCAGTCTATAGATGAATATAGTCACCATAGTCTAGACCCAAGGTGAGGCCAAACATCAGGAATAAAATGACTAAAATATAGTAACATATGAAAATATGCATTATAGATTCCACTATGAATGCACTGAAAAGTTCAGCTTCTATTTAAGAATGTTTTTAATATCTGCTGTTTTACTCCAGTTTATGGAACACCATCAAATAGTTGAATGTTGACTTGAAAATCTTTCTAATATCCCTGAATTTGTATGATCAATGATCATATGATCACATAGGAAAAACAGTGTTAGTACTATAAGAACAATTTTTTATTCAAATCTATTATTAACACATTAATATTTTATTTAAGCTATTCTTAGTTATTCTAAATGTAATTTTAATGAAGATCCTATTGTATGTTTATATGTTGAATTCTGTGAGTCAAGTAAAATGTACATTGATTTTGACCAGAATAAATGGCTCCTAGAAATAATGATTGTGAGAATTGTTGACTTCATAGTAAATTTTTACTTTCAATATTTAAAAAACAAAATAAAATACCAGTATACATAAATATTAAGACAGTGTGGTATTTAAGAACAGCATGACCTTCTTTTTGCAAAYGGTTTTAAATATCAAAAGTAGAACAGCATGACCTCCTTTTTGCAAAAGATTTTAAATAGCAAAGGTAGAAAGACAGAAATTAAACTATATCATAATTTTATTAGTTGCAGAATTCCTTGGTAAACTAGAATTTATAATAATAGTCATAAATTTCATTTAGGTAAGCATATTTCACTCCAGAAAATTCCTACTTTGTAAGTTCTTCACAGCTTTTAAGAATACAGCACACCAAGTCAAGAAAGAAGAAGAAGAAGAAGATGACGACAGCACACCATCACATTTCAAGAGGGAAAAAAATGCACAAGGCTTATAAAAAATTGTCCATTCTAAACATAATCAAAGATAAATTGTATTGACAAAAGAATACAGTATTAGAGGAAACTGCAGTACCCCAAAGATACATTGGTTCTTCAGAAATCTCGTTGAAAATAAGTGGTTTATTGCAATCCAGAAATTGAGTCTTATGAAATTATTGATATACTATGTGATCAGGCTTTGTGACCCAATGACTAAAAATTTAGCTGAAATAATTTTGATAAGCTTACATTTATTATGATATACCAAATATCCATTCTGTGAGGTAATATTTTATTTTACCTCAGTTTTCTTCAAATGTTTGTTTTAACACTTAGCCATTTCACAATTATTTATTCAAACAGTAAATCAATTTAAAAAAAAAGAAAGTAGATCACGTAATACCTCAATGAGATGCAAGATGATACATCAGAGGAAGGCTGCATTCCTAATTGCTCTGTGGATTAGGATTCAAGCAGAGCTAGTACTGTTTCTCAGCAAGCTGGGTGAAAGAGGGACTTCACTAAAATTCAATATGGATCAGTCAGAGCATCTTAGAGATTCAGAAATTTGGGTATACTAAACAAAGAAGAAAGAGTACATTGGAACCAAGATAGATGTGGTAGCAGCCACAGAAAGAGTGCTGGTTCACCAAAGAGGTCAGGAGAACATAGAGAGAAACACATATTTGGTACAGAAAACCAGAAAAGCAGCCTGAACTTGACTGATGCAGAGGTTGCTCTGTGCCATTGGTGCTGGCTACAGACAGCTGAAGCAGAAATCATCTTGAGGCAGCCATGCTACAACTACTGCTGTGGGAGCTGGGAAATCAGAGCAAACATTGCCACACTATTTCAGCAAGCACCTACCTTGTGGTCTAGTAGAATATGAGTGAAACAGGCACAGAGAAGATTCTACCCAGGGGGATCAGAAACGCAAAGGGGAGTCCAACTCTTTACTCCTCTGAGTCTGGCAGTTCATGGGCCAACTGAAGCAAGTTGAGAATCTGAACAGATAGGTGTGACTACACTCAGGAGTAACCCTGGGAAGATTGTGTTTGTGGCCAGTAGAGTGTGTGGCTTGGCTTCCATGTCTCCACAAGAAGAATTCTTGGGATACTCCTGAGATCCAGACTTCCCAATGAAATTAGCAACTGCCAGGCCAGAACAGACACCACTCAACAAAGCCCCTGAGGCCAAATTAGACCTAGAAGAGAATTAGTTGTACAAGAGAGCAGAACTTTCTTCATAGAACTCTGCATCAGCCCCACCCTGGAAGTGAATCAATATGGTCTGTGCAGACAAAACTCCAACTGACAGTACTTCCCATTCCATCCTACCTCATACTGGTAAAAGGGGAAGTTGAGATTTATTTCAACCGTCTTCAGTCTTAGGACAGACATATAAACTGGCAGTTCAGAGAGCAATAAAAAAATAGAAAGGAATAACAACTTCTAGCTCTTGCTCTCACTCTCAATACATAGCTGAAGAAGAAAGAAAGAAAGAAAGAAAGAAAGAAACAAACAAACAAACAAACAAACAGTGACCATCCATTCTTGTCAACTATTCTGACCACCTCAGTGGGAAAGACTCCTTCGTTTTTCATTAAGAATTCCATTCCCAACAGGCTCAAAAAAATAAATAAATAAATTACCTAGGAATAAATATAACCAAAGAGGTGAAATACCTCTACAGTGAAAACTATAAAACTTTGAAGAAAAAATTGAAGAAGACGTCAGAAGATGAAAAGATGTTCCATGTTCATGATGGACAGATTGCTATTGTTAAAATGGCCATACTATCAAGAGCCATGTACAGATTCAATGCAATCTCCATAAATATATCAGTGACATATTTCACAGAACTAGAAAAATAGTCCTAGGGGCTGGGGATGTGGCTCAGGGCTCGTCTGGCATGCGTGCGGCCCGGGTTCGAACCTCAGCACCACGTACAAACAAAGATGTTGTGTCCGCCAAGAACTAAGAAATAAATATTAAAAATTCTCTCTCTCTCTCTCTCTCTCTCTCTCTCTCTCTCTCTCTCTCTCTCCTCTCTCTCTTAAAAAAAAAAAGAAAAATAGTCCTAAAATTCATTTGGAATAGTGAAAGACCTAGAAGAGCCAAAGCAATTCTAAACCAAAGAAGCAAGCCTGAAGGAACCACAACACTAGACTTCAAACTATATTACACAGCTATATTAACAAAAACTGCATGGTACTGGAATTAAAATAGGCACATAGACCAATGGTACAGACTAGAAGACACAGAGACAAGCCCACATATCTACAATCATCCAAGCCTTGACAAAATAACAAAAACAAACACTGAAGAAACCACAGCCTTTTTAAGAAATGGTGCTGGGACAACTGGTTATTCCTATGTAGAACAATGAAACTAGACCTTTATCTCTCACCCTGCACAAAAACCAACTCAAAATATATCAAAGGCCTAGGAATTAGACCAGAAACTATGCAACTCCTAGAAGAAAATGTAAGATCAACAAATCAGCATATAGGTACAGCCAACAACTCTCACATTAGGACCCCTAAAGCTCAGGAAATACAATTTGGGATGGCATCAAATTAAAATGCTTCTGCACAGAAAAGAAAACAGTTAAGAATGTGAAGACAAAACCTACAGAATGAAAGAAAAATCTTTGCTATTTACTCACCTCATAGAGAATTAATATCTAGAATATATAAAGATCTCAAAAAACCTTACACACAAAACAATCAATAACTCAATTAAGAAATGGTCAATGAATTAAATAGACTTTTCTCAAGAAATACAAATGGCCAACAAATATATTTTTTAAAAAGTGCAATATCATTAGCGGTTAGGAAATGCAAAAATAAAACTACACTGAGATTC